CTCTTTCTATTTTACATCTACTCCTCCTTTTTCTTAGAGGTATAAGCCTTGTGCATACATCGAGTGCCACCGAGTTAATCAGTTCTAGGCATAAGTTGGGGTCTGTGTTGCTTAGTATATCTTCCCAGCTTATATTGGTTAGGACTTGGTTTACTTGGTCCCACTTTATGTTTTTGTTATTGAAGTTGAATTTGGTGAATGCTCCCTCGTGACTAATTTCATTATATCGGTCTGAGGCCCCGCGCATACATGTCTGAACCTCAACTATGTTGTGATCTGAGTATATTGTTTTTGATATGGTGACATTTCTTAACAGATCACCATTGTTAGTGAAGATGAGGTCTAGTGCATTCTCCAGTCTACTAGGCTCTATTATTTGCTGGTTTAAATTGAATTTTGTGCAGAGATTTAAAAGCTCGTGTGAGTGAGAGTTTTCATCAGAGCTGCCTCCTGGTGTAATTTCTGCAACAATATTATTTGCTATATTCCGCCATTTTAGGTGCCTTAAGTTGAAATCCCCCAGGAGCAAGATGTTGGGTGCAGGAGCTGGAAGATTTTCTAGACAGTGGTCAATTTTTAACAGCTGTTCCTGGAATTGCTGGGATGTTGCACCCGGAGGCTTGTAGACTACCACAATGATTGGTTTTGGTTCTCTATCTTTACTGCTAAAACTTCCACTACATCATTTGAGGCATTAAGCAGTTCTGTGCAAACAAGTGACTCTGCAATGTACAGGCCAACTCCCCCCCCCCCCTTTTGCCTGTTCACTCTGTCACATCTGTATAGGTTTTAACCTGGGATCCATATTTCGTTATCCTAGTGATCCTTTATGTGGGTCTCAGTGAAAGCCACGAACATTGCCTTTGCCTCTGCAAGCAGTCCATGGATGAAAGGTATTTTGTTGTTTGTTGCTGGCTTTAGACCCTGTATATTTGCAAAGAAGAATATCATCGGACTGGTGGTATTGTTGGTACTGGGGGGGATTTTTTTCCCGGCATTAGAATCTGTATCTGTTGGTTTGGAGTGGAGGCCATCGACTGTGGTCCCACTCCAGGAATAACTGGATTTTGTGTACAATTTCTGCCATTTCCTGCCAGTTTTTTTTTTCCTTCCTGGCACTAAAAAACCTCTCCCTCTTGAGTGGCTGTGGCTACCCAGGTTTTCCCATGGCCTGGATGTTTTGTATCTTTTTGTCCCCTTTAGATGGTGTGCCTGGCAATTTAAGTTATAGCACAGTCTTTCCTGTACTGAAGAGGTACACATTTCAGGGTGAAAAAGCTTACAGGAAGGGAGTTTGCATTTTCCTGTTCTCATATGGGCATGGAATTTTCTAGGGTGGTCATAGTTGCACCTCCCATCAGTTTTTCCAGATTTCCCATGCCTGCAGATACCAAGTGCATAGTATGTGCACAGGCTTGGTTTCCATTTGCCTTGGGTTTCTGTGACTGTATTCCCTGTTGGTGCATGTTTACCTGTCTTATTCCTATCCTCCCTAGCACCAACAATGGAGCTCCCACCAGTTGCTTTTGGTAATATATCCTCACTATTGCTAGTGGGGTCCTCTTGTTTGCTATTTCTTGTGGTATTTCTACACTTGTTTCCCCACTACGGCTCCTGTCCCCTATGAGGTCATTTATATGCATTCCATCCTGCGTATAATTCCAGACTACCTAGACAAAATCTCCAGCTTCACTATTACTGTCTCCCAGGACAGCACCTCCAGCTTCACCATTACTGTCTCCCAGGACAGCACCTCCAGCTTCACCATTACTGTCTCCCAGGACAGCACTATCAGCCCCACATTTACTGACTACCAGGACATCACCTCCAGCCTTACAGTTTCTGACTACATGGCCAGTATCAAGGGCAGTACCATTCTGCCCAGACTTTTTATCTTCCCATCTGTTGTAGAAAGCTTCCAGGTTGTCTATGAAAGCAGCTTTGGTGTTATCCTCTTTTAATACCCTTGTGATTTTAGTCCACAGATTTATCTCATTTGGGCATACCCAAAAACACTTCCCTGTTTTAATATTGCTTGTAGCTAGTTCTTGGATATCTGCACAAGGGGCGTGACACCAATTTCCACATAAATGACAATTTATCCATGTGGGAGCCCATTTGTTTGATTGATTGCAGACTATACAGAGCTTCATAATGATTTGAATGGTTGATTTACTGTAATTCTACTAGCAACCTCTTGAATACTCTATTAATAACTTCCTTAAATGAAGCTCTAGCTATTTGTATTTCTATTTCTAACTGTACTTGTGTATTGGACAGCTTACCGTGTCCAATGCCCAATGTTTCCACTCCTTAGCTGGGAATTGAGCCCAGACCCACACTGTGTGAAGCGAGAGCTTTTGCTACCAGGCCACGAGGAACCGTTGAGGAAAATTATTCTTATATTATTAATAGGGTAGCAATATGGTGCCATAGTATTAATATGGTAAGCTAATACATTCAACTGAACTGAATTTCACCATTACAATTAAAAATGTATCTATGTGACTATGTAAATTATTAGTTACTATAATATAAATAAGTACCTGTTACTGCAAGTTGATCCTCACTTTAACTCTGATATAAACCCTGCCCTCAAACGTCTCCTTACCAACCTCAACAGAACACATGACCATAACACAAGGCACAGATCACTCTTTGATGTTCCTAGTGTCCATCTCACGCTATGCAAAAACTCAATGCACATAAAAGGCCCTAAAATCTGGAATTCATTACCTGTAAATATAAAAGAAACACTATCTGTTTATAAATTCAAGTCTCTTCTCAAAGATCACTTACTCACCCACAACCAAATAAATACTGAATAATTGTATCCTATAAATTGTATATCTTAAATGTTTCTCATAATTGTATCACAAATGTTAAACCTAAGACCCAATCAAACTTTGTTATTTTTTAATTACACTACCTAACTGTACATTCTACTGAATGTACAGTAATGCAACCGTATGACCTGTCTTTGTAATACTCATTTGTGCTTAATTGTTATCTGTTTACAATAATGTTTAACCACTGAATACATCATTGCTTAGTTAATCTTAAGTTAATTTTAAGCCTGCCCATAATGCTCTGCATACAAGGGGCTTTGGCATGCTGCACTTAACCACTGTATTTCCTTGTACTTCTATGTATCATGTTCAAATTAATAAATAAATAAATTAATTAATGTAAATAACTCGGTTTACCTTAGGGTAAGATTTTGTTCAGATTTTTTAATCAGGAGGGCTAGCCACCCAAGATAACCCAGGAAAGTCAGTGGCTCATCAAGGAACTGTCTGTCTTACTTCCATTGTGGTCATCAATCTTGTCCCCCAGGATGCCACCCACACCAGTCAACTAAACCCAGGTACCTACTTGCTAGATGAATGGGACAACTGGTTTAAGTAAACAGCCTTAAAGTTTCCACCCTTGCCAGGCCATGGGTATCCCTTATTACAAATATATCTTACTTTAGAGTAACTGATTTTCAGATAGTTGAGTTAGTTGTTTTAAGAATTAAATGTAATAATATATTACAAGGAGCACAATTAAGTCACTTTGAGTTTTTTTGTGTTACTCTGGTGGTTGATGTACATGTTACTATGTATGATACATAATTAGTTTAAGTGTATTTATGTGTACTTGTACCTAAATAAACTTACTAACTTATTGGGTTATTCTTGGTTAAATAATGAACCTTGTATATGAATGTTCTGCCAACAATATTGTTTATTATGTAACATGAACCTTAAAACTTACTAACTTAAACCTGCTGCTGCCTCACCATCAAACACCTGCTGCTGCCTCACCACCTAACACCTGTTGCTCCCTCACCATTTAACATCTGCTGCTGCCTCACCACCTAACAACTGCTGCTGCCTCACAACCTAACACCTGCTGCTGCCTCACCACCTAACACCTGCTGCTTCCTCACCACCTAACACCTGCTGCTGCCTCACCACCTAACACCTGCTGCTCCCTCACCATTTAACATCTGCTGCCTCACCACCTAACAACTGCTGCTGCCTCACCACCTAACAACTGCTGCTGCCTCACCACCTAACAACTGCTGCTGCCTCACCACCTAACAACTGCTGCTGCCTCACAACTTAACACCTGCTGCTGCATCACCATCTAACACCTGCTGCTGCATCACCATCTAACACCTGCTGCTGCATCACCATCTAACAAATGCTGCTGCTCCCTCACCACTTAACAACTGCTGCTGCCTCATCACCTAACACCTGCTGTTGCCTCACCACCTAACACCTGCTGTTGCTGCCTCACCACCTAACACCTGCTGCTGCTACCTCACCAATGCCTGCTGCTGCTACCTCACCAATGCCTGCTGCTGCTACCTCACCAATGCCTGCTGCTGCCTGAGAACCTAACACCTGCTCCTGCCTGAGCACCTAATACCTGCTCCTGCCTGAGCATGCAACACCTGACTCACTCAACTCCTGAGGACCTGACACTCAACACCTAAGCACCTAACACACACAACGCCTAAGCATCTAACACCTGACACACTCAACATCTGAGCAGCTAACACCTGACACACTCAACATCTGAGCAGCTAACACCTGACACACTCAACATCTGAGCAGCTAACACACCACTGACACACTGAACATCTGAGCAGCTAACACCTGACACACTCAACATCTGAGCAGCTAACACCTGACACACTCAACATCTGAGCAGCTAACACCTGACACACTCAACATCTGAGCAGCTAACACGTAACAGTCAACAAGACACAGGGAGATTAAGTAAGTTTATTCAGGTATACACAAATACAGTTACATAGAATTATCATACATAGCAGCATGTGTGTAGAGAACCTAGGATAACCCAAAAAAGTCAGACAGAGTGACTTATTTCCATTGGGGTCCATGTCTGGCGCCTCGTCGCCTTAATACACTATATTTCATGGGTCAAACTCTATGTATCATCTAGCACATGAATGTTGTATTGTAATAAAGGTCGGTGTTACTCACCTGTGTTAGACACCACAAACACTGTTTATTGTTGACTTTCTTTGTTGGGTTCTTCTTCTTTCTTTCTTTGTTGTGTTAATCAGGGCCACTGACAACATAAGCCGTATCCAGCCTGGGTTCTCAATCGTACCAGGAAAAATTGTTGCCCAAGGCTGGACGATGAGAGAAAAAGAACAAAAGTGCCTTTGTAAATGGAGATAGAAACTTGAAGTTTCCGATTAGATCCGGTGGACGCCCTTGCCAAGCCCCAGCAGGGAGGGACGCCTACACTCCTACCGGAGTTCAGTAACCGGCTTCCAACCAAAGACCGTTAAAGAAGTTTCCGCAGAACGGAAAAAATGGTGCTGGCCAAAAGTAAGCCGATGTACAGGTGCCCCTCCTGTAGAGTGCCCGGCAGGCTAAATAGATGAGGACAAGCGTACCAGCGAGAACCGGAGAAATTTGTCACTGATACTCAGGCGAGAGAAGGCTGGCGCAGAAGTTCTATTGTTGACTTTATCACAGCCACCCACCAACACAAGTTGTTGTTGTTGTTTATTTATTTATTTATTAATTTGAACGTGATACAGTGAAGTACAAAAGAATACAGTTAAATGCAGCATGCCAAAGTTACTTGAATGCATAGCATTACGGGCAGGCTTAAAATTAACTTAAGATTAACTAAGCAATGAAGTATTCAGTGGTAAAACATTATTGTAAACAGATAACAAGCACAAATGAGTATTACAAAAACAGGTCGTATGGTTGCATGCATTGCTGTACAAACATTATTTATTTATTTATTTATTTATTTATTTATTTAATTTGAACATGATACAGAGAAGTACAAGGAATACATTTTTTAAAGTGCAGCATGCCAAAGCCCCTTGTTTGCAGAGCATTATGGGCAGGCTTAAAATTAACTTAAGATTAAATAAGCAATGATATATTCAGTGGTACAAAAATTATTGTAAAACAGATAGCAATTTAGTACAAATGAGTATTACAAAGACAGTATGGAAAATTTTCAAGGGTGATTACCTGCACGTACCTCAACATTACATGCATACGAGTATTCTCATTGGGAGACAACAACTATATTGTTTACCGTAGTCACCCCGTGTAGACATGTGAGAAAACTTAACCACCTCTGGTAACTGCAGGTGGCCCCCTCGACCCTCACAATCTTATCCATATCTATCCGAGACCAGTATAAATTGGATAGCACCCACAAGTACGGTGCCACTAATTAATTGTGGACTGTATAGATTATATTAGTTTAACTGAAGGAAGGGGGGGGGGGTAGGTTACACATGGATATATCCATCAAAAGAAAAACACTTGTACATAATCCCACCACTTACCATATATTCTCTGGTGGTCACTTGATGTAGCTGGATCACCCATAACCTATCCAATTACAACATACCTAACTGGCCAGTATCAGTCTGCTATAACTAGAAGGGTTACTTAACTGTGGGTGACTGATGCTCCTTATTTCCTCCATTCACTATCTCATTTCGATGTCCTGTTACACCGACACGGTTCTTATTCCAGCAGGGCAGATAAGGTAAGATTTCGTTCGGATTTTTAATCCCGGAGGGTTAGCCACCCAGGATAACCCAAGAAAGTCAGTGCGTCATCGAGGACTGTCTAACTTATTTCCATTGGGGTCCTTAATCTTGTCCCCCAGGATGCGACCCACACCAGTCGACTAACACCCAGGTACCTATTTGCTGCTAGGTGAACAGGACAACAGGTGTAAGGAAACGTGTCGAAATGTTTCCACCCGCCGAGAATCGAACCCAGGCCCTCCGTGTGTGAAGCGGGAGCTTTAGCCACCAGGCCAATAGTTGGTTTGTCCCGGTTTAGAAGTCGTGACTCCATAGAAACTTCACTACCCTCAGAACGGGAACAACGTGTTCTAACGTGTTCACTCGGAGCAAGGTGACTTATTTCAATTCACGCATTCTCTTAACTTAATGTTATTATCACTGATTACATTACCATTCACAAGACGATTTAATGTCTCATAATTATTATACGTATACATTAGAGGTCACTCCATTAAGATCTGAGACCGATGAGTGATGATTAAATCACGGGTATTTTCCCCGGGACACTCCATGGCGACACACCAGTCTCACCACCGGTCCTACCATTATTCACTAAATTTACCACTTTATTACGGTGGTCCCGTAAATCACGTTCCCTCACTCTTCATCAGGAACAGTTATGACACTTTCTATTATGAAATGAGGCCTATATTAATCCTTAGGCCGCCGTGAATGCCAATTTCCTGTTCCCATGCGTTCCCAGCCTCGTCACTCAATTCAAAACACTCCCGCCTCGATGCCCTGCCTCGACCTGTCTCTCCGCACATCCGCACAGGCGCAGAGCAAACCATGTTGGTTCTATTACATTTTCAAATACATTTTGACCCAAATCAGCACAATAAACACTTATTAGGCACTATAGCTTCGGAAATTAAATAATTTTCACACTGCGGCCGGACAGAAGTCGTTGTTACCTGGAGTTTACCTGGAGAGAGTTTCAGGGGTCAACGCCCCCGCGGCCCGGTCTGTGACCAGGCCTCCTGGTGGATCAGCCCCTGATCAACCAGGCTGTTGCTGCTGGCTGCACGCAAACCAACGTACGAGCCACAGCCCGGCTGATCAGGAACTGACTTTAGGTGATTGTCCAGTGCCAGCTTGAAGACTGCCAGGGGTCTGTTGGTAATCCCCCTTATGTATGCTGGGAGGCAGTTGAACAGTCTCGGGCCCCTGACACTTATTGTATGGTCTCTTAACGTGCTAGTGACACCCCTGATTTTCATTGGGGGGATGGTCCATCGTCTGCCAAGTCTTTTGCTTTCGTAGTGAGTGATTTTCGTGTGCAAGTTCGGTACTAGTCCCTCTAGGATTTTCCAGGTGTATATAATCATGTATCTCTCCCTCCTGCGTTCCAGGGAATACAGGTTTAGAAACCTCAAGCGCTCCCAGTTAATTGAGGTGTTTTATCTCCGTTATGCGGGCCGTGAAAGTTCTCTGTACTTTTTCTAGGTCGGCTTTTTCACCTGCCTTGAAAGGTGCGGGAGGTGCAAAAATTTCCAGCCTAGTAAACAAGTGACCTAAAAGAGTGTCACAGGGTTTGGGGCCTCCCTATTTTAAAGGGTTTCATTATCCCCCTTCATTTTTCTAGCAGTGGATTGAAATTTTTTGGCCTTTGAAGGTGGATCCTCCGAATAACACCCCCAGGTCTTTGAGTTGTGTTTCGCTCTATTATGTGGCCAGAATTTGTTTTTACTTGATGAAGTTTTTTTAATTTCCTCATGTTTCCCATTTTGAAAATTAAAAATTTTTCTCACGTTAACTATATTGTTTTCCGCCCCCACAAAAAATTTTGGGTTTGATGTCCCGGGACCCTTGCGTGTCTGAAAGGAAGACACTGTCCGATTCGGGTGTTCTGCAAAGAAACACGGTGTGGGGCTGACATCCTTGTTAGTCGGTATGAGGATGAGGAAAAGATGGAGCTAGTACTGGCCTTGTGGAACAGAGCTTTTCACCGAGCGCCTGGGGACTTTACTCTGTTGAGATCTTTGGTTCTTGTGGGGAAATTTAAACCCCCCTCGACCGATTTTCCTTTTTTCCCTTTGCACCATTTTGCGCTATTTCCAGGCCACACTTGTCGAAGGTTTTGAAAAAGTGGAAAATTTATTAATCTGCATTTTTTTTGTCTTCTAGTGCTTTTAAACCCTTTCGTAGTGACCCAATGTTAGAAAAAAGGGGACCTGTTTAAAAACCCATGTTCCCTTTTGTAACTGAGGGGTTTCTAGAGGGTGGTGATCTTGCTTCTTAGGCCCTTTTTCAAAGATTTTTAGATAGGGGATTTATCTTTTTCTGTATTCTTTGCTTTGTTTTTTAATGCCCCTTTGTGGAGTGGGGCTTTCTGTTTTTTTTTGTAACTGGGGAAACCCCCCCTGTCCATGCTCCCTCCAAGGGATGGAAAAGGCTCGTGATAGGGGCTTTTGGGGGCAGCGTAAAACCAGAGCCATGGCGGGCCCCTGGGGAGGGTGCATGGGCATGTCTTTTTTCCCCTGTTCGAAGTCATTGGCGTCGGAAAACATGGTAGGCTTGTTTAATAAAAATTTTGTGGCTTCTCAAAAAAAATTCATTTGATCTTCGCTCTCTTTGGGTTAGGCTTGCAAAAAAAGGGTCTATTGGGGACTTGGTACTCACTCATTTTTTTTTTTTTCCTTGTGTCATCTGTTAGGACCCATTTGATAAGTGGGGCCCAATAGGGGCTTTTTTCTCGATTTTGTTTTGGTAGGAAAAATATTTTGGGGTTTTTTTCGATTTCTTTAGGCTTTTAGTTTTCCCGCGATTCCTGCCCCTAAAGGATTTTTTTAGTTTAAAAGTTTTTGCTTGTATTTCTCTGACCATGTCTCCCACCATTTCAGAATATTGCCCCTCTTTTAGCCGCTCTGTTTTTTTTTCCGTCGCCTGAAAAGGAGCCCTGCTCTTTCTATTTTCATTACCCTTTCTTTTTTTAGAGGAATAACCCTTTGTGCATACATCGATCCCCCGAGTTAATCTGTTTGGGCATAATTTGGGGGTCGGTTTTGCTTATGTATCTTCCCGCTTATATGGGTTGGGACTTGGTTTACTTGGCCCATTTTATTTTTTGTTTTGAAGTTAATTTTGGGTAATGTCCCTGTGATAGTTCTTTTGTGGGTTGGGGCTCCCGCAACATGTCTGAACCTCTTTTTGTTTTGATCTGATTTTTTGTTTTTGTTGGTGTTTTCTTATCAATTTTTTCATTGTTAGTGAAGATGGGTCAGTTATTCTCCAGTCTATAGGCCTATTTTTTGTGGTTTAAATTGAATTTTGTGCAAAATTAAAAAAGCTGGTGGTGTGGTTTTTCATCAGGCTGCCTCTGGTGTTATTACTGCAAAAATATTTTTTTGCTTATTCCTCCATTTCAGGTCCCTTTAAGTTAAAAACCCCCCAAGGCAAGATTTTTGGGTGGGGAGCTGGAAGTTTTCCAGACAGTGGTAAAATTTTTTAACAGCTGTTCCTGGAATTGCGGGGTGTTGCACCCGGGGGCTTGGACTACCACAATGATATTTTTTGGGTTCTCATTTTTACTGCAAAAACTTCCACTAATCTTTTGAGGCATTAAGCTTTCTGGCAAAAAATGACTCTGAATGTACAGCCAACCCCCCCCCCCCTTTTGCCTGTTCACTTGTACATCTGTATGGGTTTGAAACCCGGGATCCATATTTCGTTGTCAAGTGATCCTTTATGTGGGTCTCAGTAAAAAAAAAGCCGCGAACATTCCCTTTTTGCCTCTCAAGCAGTCCACGGATAAAGGTTTTTTTTGTTTGTTGCTGGCTTTGCCCCTGTATTTTTGCAAAAAAGAATGTTATCGGATGGGGGTTTTTTTGGTACGGGGGGGGTTTTTTTTTTTCCGGATTAGTATCTGTATTGTTGGTTTGGAGTGGGGGCCCATCGAC